GTTTTACTATACCTCAACTGTCGTGCTTCAATGATTTTGTATTGAAACATTGTCACATTTATTTGTTGGGTTTTTCTAGGTGCTCTAGAAATATGCGCGCTTTTTCTTATGGCCTAATCTGTGAATATTATTGCTTCATTATCTTAATGTCATGCCGAAGGATGTTTACTATACATGCAGACTTGTTGAACAAAAATGACGACTAGGATGACTGTCAGTCATACACATGAAACACAAGATGGAATAATTAAACTATATAATTAGTTACAAGTACATGAAGTTGACATGATTGTGACTATTTTTGGAAATTCTAATTATTCTATCATTAAAATGGACGGGCGCACAACGCGCGCCATCAATGATCTTTCAGTGGAGATGGTAGTAGGGGCTAGCATATGCAGACGCTAGCTAGATCTGGTGTGGTGAGGTCGGGTGATGGATCGTGGTGCCAAGCGTCAGGCAGTCTGGACTTGATCATCTGTTGGTCGCCGCCTACTTGCTACATCCACATATTATATATGAAGAGTATTATTGATGCTTCGTAAAAAGCACTAGGCTATTCAAGGGGATCATAATACTAGTTTTTTCCATCATGCAATTATCAAAAGAAGAAGAAGAAAGAATAGACTAGCTTCCATAAAAGATGACAATAGTGTTGTGCATATCAAACCAGATGCAATTGCTAATGTTTTTATCCAATATTTCAAAAACTCTTTTCTTGCTCTAACACTAACCATGGCAGGTTATATACATTCTGTGCGTCCAAGCATTGAAGGAGATTACACCTGTAGTATTCCTGATAAAACAGAAATATGGGAAACGCTTAGAGCAATGAGAAGGAATGCATCACCAGGACCAGATGGGTTTGATGTAGCTTTCTACACAGCAGCTTAGGACTGGATTGGAGATGACATAGTCAAAGTGGTAAGAGATTTCTATGAAAAGGTATACTTCCTGCCCATCTAAATGATACTCTCACAGCACTCATTCCAAACAAAACTGGCCTCTCTTGTTCCTGTTGATTTTCAACCTATTAGCTTGTGTAATGTTATTTACAAAATCACAGCAAAAACCCTGGCTAATATACTCAAATCTCACTTGTCGGATTACATTCATTAATCTCAACAGGCTTTCATTGAGGGTAGGAGAATCAATAGCTAGATCACCATAGCTTAGGAAATAACCCATTCTTTTGCTTTGAAATCTTGGAAAACCCCGGCTTTCATGCTTAAAATAGATTTGGCCAAAGCTTTTGATAGAACAGAGTGGAATTTCATTATGCAAGCTTTCTTTCGAGAATGGCTTCATAGCCACTTCATCAATTTTATTTATGCTTGCATTACAACTCCTTTTTTCTGTTACTATTAACGGCCAGTCTTACGGCTGCTTCCAGAGTTGTAGGGGGATTAGACAAGGATGCCCATTATCTTCTTGTTTGTCCTAGCAATTAACGAGCTTTCTATATACCTCCAAGAGACCATGTGCTCACGCCGTCTGATAGGCATATCTTTAGGCCTTGGTTGTCCACCCATCCACTCACTCTTGTTTACAGATGATTTATTAATTTGCGGTCAAACCACCATTCCTAAAGCTACTCAGATTTCTCATATTCTTTAGAGATTTTGCAACCTTTCAGATCAAACTCCTAGCTGGAATAAATCAGGTATTATTTTAGCTGAACCATTGGTGCTAATAAAAGGATTTTTCTAGTCGTGGACGTCGGTGCTAATTCTATTCATCTTGCCACCCTTTAATCCTTCCAGCCAAGAATAGATCTACTGATTATGACTTTGTGGCTGAGAAATTTTGTATTAAACTTAGTGGTGATAAGGCCAATAAGCCCTCTCATGCAGCTAGATTGAGTCTTACTAAGTATGTCTTTGCTTCCATCCCCATGTATTACATGTGTAACATTTCATTTTCCAGGAAGTTGATTGCAAAGCTCATGATGATTATTAGGAATTTCTGGTGGCAGGAATAAAAGAGGAACCAATATCCAAAACGCTTTGTCTTAGGGCATCAAAGAACATTTGTGTTCCGAAATGTGAAGGAGGTCTAGGAATCATAAACATACAAGCTATGAACAGAGGACTTGTTCTTTCAACACCTTGAAAGATTGCAAAAAACCTTGATAGGTTACTCTTTAGAGTTCTCAAATCCAAATATTTTCCCGACTTCAATATGGAGAGCTAGTTCAAAAATTCCAATATCTTCTTTTTGGTCCTTCGTCTTAAGAATATGCCACTTGCTTTACTCTAATTCCTTTTATCAACTTACTGAAGGCGACTCTCCTATATGGAGATTCCTTGGTGTCCTGTTTGGGAATCCATCTATGACTGCCTAATCATCCAACTTGAACACTTCACGAGTTAAGGATCTTTGACTGCCTAACCAAAAAGTTTGGAACACTAAAATTATTTGCATACTCTTTGATCAACAGGCAGCTAACATCATTCTGCAGGCACCTATAATTCAATCGGAAGGGGCTGGTATCCTATGTTGTAAGCTACATGGTTCAGGAAAATGCACATCCAAATATGCATACAGAGCTTGCCTACAGGATATGCAGGAACATGGAGAGCCTATACCTAGACATGTACCTACAGGTGTAAAGATAATTGTACGTAAGACATGGGGAGAAAAGGAATGGTACCCATAGTACAAACATTCGCATGGAGGCTTCTCAGGAAAGCAAATCCTACAGGTATGAGGGCGCGTAGATTTTCTTCTGACATTAAAAATTGTGCAAGATGTGATTAGGAAGAAAATGATATACATTTATTCTTCACTTGCCCATTTGCTAAAGCCGCTTGGTTCTCTAAACCTTGGAATATAAAGTCTGAATTATTTGTGCAAATTTTTGATTCAATCCCTACTATTATCCAGGCCTTGTTAACTTCCAACCACCGTCATGCCTCTTTGAATAACATTATGGCTTTTCTTTGGTGTATTTGGAAGTCCAGGAATATAACCTTTTCGGGAGAAAATCCAACTCTCCTATGCAAGCAATACAGTCAATAATAAAGAACCAAGATTTAGCTTCCTATGCATATATTGCAGGTTCATAAATAGAAATGATCCAGGAAGTAGGGGCAAAATCTACATAGAAACAAAAGCAGGGATCTTCTTTAGAAACTGATGATGGGATTACACATTGCAAGGTTTATACAGACACTGCATGGAAGAAGAACACTACTGGCTCCGACAACAACTCAAGGAAAATAGGAATACGAATTTACATTCAGAATAGCGAGAACGAAAAAGAAACATGTATCTTAATCTCTGCAACTGGAAAAAATGTCGAATCTCCACTACAAGGTGGAGGCTATAGCCCTACAGGTTGCTGCAGAAATTGCTTCTCGCACTGCTAATAGCCAAATTACTTTCCTAGTGGACAATGTGATACTAGCTTGGGCAGCGGCTCAAGGAACCTTCTTCAAGTGCCTGGGCACTGGCAAATTAGAAGCCAGCCTGCAAATTATTTTGTTGCAACTGCCAACATTCAAGCTTGGGTCTTCCATATTCCTAGGGTACTTGATGTAAAGGCTCACAACTGTGCAGCTGCTTCTTATAGAGATGATTATCCTCTGAGCCAAAAAATGGCTTGTTCTAGTGCACAACATAGAGGAGTAGGGAAACTATACTACATAAGACACTCTTTCCTAAGAAAAGCTTAGGGTTCCGCCGCCTCCTGCCGGCGCCGCCATCGGTCCACCTCGTCTCCGGTGGTTTTAGGGTCATGGTGGCGTGGTGGATCCTGACCCTTGCCGACGGCAGGGCTCTATTTTTAGATGTTCCTTCGAATTTTGTTAGGGTTTGCGTACTGCTCAGGAAGACGAGACAACGGCGGCTCCCTGAAGATGGAATAAGGTTCTCCCCACCTAGCCCCGTTTCGTTCGTGTATCTAGCATCGTCGGTGGGCGTGTGGAGATGTGTTTCCGGCGGTGATGAATTTACTCGGATCTGGTAGTAGTTCATCTATGTTTGTGTTTCTTCAAGTTGAATCCTTCCAATCTACACTACTCTTCATCGGCGGCGGTTGTTATTCTACTGCGGGTCCTATGGGGCCTTAGCACGACGACTTCCTGACTGTACTACAACAAGTTTTGCCTGGCTCTGGCGAAGGAGGGGCAATGACGGCGGCGCGTCTTCGGCTCGCTTCAATGCTTGTAGTCGTCGCTAGATGGTCTACGGATCTAGATGTATTTTTTTATTATTTTTAGTGTTGGTTGTATTGCCATGATTGAAAATGAATAGATTGAAAATTTTCTTGCAAAAAAAAAAAAACATACAGGAACAGGATATCACTGTCTTAGGCTCGGAAAACTAGGCAATTTAATTAAGCAATAAGGATTACCAGATTCTATATGTAACTTGTATTTGATAATCCCTCCGTTTCAGTTTACAAGTCATGCACGTATACCTAGGTTGCCAATTTTGTCACCCTAATATAATCTATATATCACAAAAATTATATCTTTTGAAAATAGAACAGTTGAAGTTTATATTGGTATATTTTTTGTAATATATGACTTGTATTAGATTGGTCAAATTGACGACCTAGAGATACGCACACGCCCTATAAATTGAGAGAGATGGAGTATGAATACAGGGCGCAAGGCATCTCGTGGTGTACCCTGAGGTTTTTTCTTGTGTATGTGTGTGAACTTGGTGTACACTGATTTTGGTTTTGGGTATGTTTTTTTCTGTCAGAACAGGGGACACGTGGAAGAGAAGGTGTGGGTGTGGGCCATCAAACAACCAATCACAGCCGCTAAGCCTGCTGGAGGACGGATGTGAGCAAGCCCTGTCCGCCACTCTCAGCAAAATCGCTGCCGTCGGTGACAAGTGGGGCCTCGTCCACCTCACACTGGTCTTCGCGTGTCCTGCCTTCGTCTCAGTTAGTCCTGCCTCTTGCCCAAATCGCAAACCCTACCTCGCCAGCGCCACCCTCCAGATCCGGAGAGCTCCCCTCGTTCTCCGTCCCTCCGGCGCCAGCCATGCGGATCCGCAGGGCCGCCTCCCGCGTGCTCGGCGTCGCCCCCTCCGCCGCCTCCCCCTCCCAGCCGCCCCGACCCAATCTGCCCCCGCTCCCGCCAGCCGACGCCGGCGGCCCGCCGCCCTGCGTGACGAACATGGCGGTAGCGGACCTGATGAACCAACTCGGCATCCAAGATCCCGAGGTAATTTTCTTGCCCCACTCGATGCATGCTCGTAGCTTGCCGTATCCTGCATCTTGGATGTATTGCCCATTTCCGCGCCGCCGGTCGCCGGTCCCTGTACAGCAGCGTGCGATCCCCCTCCCTTGCTAGATCTCGTTTTTCGAGGTTGCCCATCCGGCCGCTGCTGCTCGCGCGCTGGTCTGGCTCGTCCGCCCGGACACGTCCCTGCTAGGGTTTCCATCCCTCCGCGCCCCTCGCGTTTGCTTGCTTGTTTATGCAGGCGCGGTAATCTGCGGCCAGCCAGCCGGCGGCGGCGTGCCTGCAAGGGTTGGAAACGATGTGAGCCGTACCTACGTGCATCCACCCTATTTCAGTTACATGTACATGTGTGCGTCGAAATGCATGTATTTTCCGATTTTTGCTTTTTTTCATACCATCCTCACAAAGGATCAGGTTCCACAATCTAACGATAATGAAACAAAACCAAGGTGCAGCAGCATGAGTATCCAAGTGCAACAAGAAAAGAGTTCAGCTGCCGCAAAATGCTAACAGCAAAGATAAAGAACAACAGTAACAAAAGTTTTGACCTAACCAGAGGGCACCTAAACCTACAATTCAGATCAACCTCCACCAACACTTTGCCTGCTGTCATGTACTTCCTTCACTGCACCCCCCCTATAACTCAGCATTATTTTTCATTATTGTATATCTCTTTTCTTAACCAGGGGCTCATTTTTTTTCACTTTTCATGTTTTTCAGGATGACAAGCACTTCAAGGAAACTTACTTTTGGGATGGCCTTCCTAGCCTTCCCAAACACCACCCCTGGGGATCTAGGTATCATTTCCCAGCCACCACCTGTGCCGACTCCATTGAGGAAAAAGAGGAGATGGCCGTTGACGTGCTAGATGACATCATCTTGGAATCGCGTATCGTGGAGAAGAACTCTGAGAAAAACAAAAGCACCATGACGAAGGGTGAGGAAGAGAAGGACAAGAGCAAGCTAGAGACAAAAGGGAAGGGGAAGGTGGAGGCAGATGAGAGTTATGCTGCCAGAGGAGGATGGCCATGCAAGCAGAATGAAAGGCGATTCTGCGGGCGGACCGCAAGCCAACCCAACTCGTACTGCTTGCACCACTCTCACCAGAAGCCCCGTGCCATCTCGAAGCCACCTCGCAAGAGGATCACTGCCCACCGTGACTTGGGACTAGGGTTCTACTACTACGATGGGTTCGGCCCGTCAGGCAACACCAAGAGGCAACGCGGATCAAGCAGTTTGCCAGAACCTATTGAACAGAAAGAGGAGGTGTCGCCTGAACACCACGTCGATTTTAGTGCAGGTCTGGTTGGAGTTGCTGACGAAGAAAATCAAGTCGGGTCAGAGTCAGAATACATTGAAAAGCCTAGGTTCGACGATTGTACTGATGTCATGATCACTGGCTACGACGATGACAACAGTGATGAAGACTCGCCTGATTACAATAGCGAAAACATTAAGGTGAGCAAGAACCCGCCAAAGAAGAGGGGAAAGAAGCCTATGAAAGCCCGATCACTCAAGTCATTGATGTGATAAGAGCACGGTCGCACTTGTGTCTCTGTGGCATGTGGAAACAATATAGTAGAAACTATATGGATATTTTGTTGCACTGTTTTTTAACTGTGGTACTGTGGTGCTAGCATTTGCACTAGCTATTAAAAGAGTTCCATATACTCCAATATACATATATGATATATATATGGTGCCTGGTCATTGTGATGGGCGAGATGCGGTCAATTTTTACCGTGAATGGTTTATTTGTTTATTTTGTGCAGTTAGTTTATGCAATGGTGTGTGCTAGGCATTTGGTTCCTGAAAACCGATGAATGATTGTGGTACTGGGCTCAAGGAGACGGATGCCCCACCTTCCAGCCCGGAGATCAATGTCTGAACATGATATAGCTTAATACAGAATAAACCACGATTCATTGAATTACTATGGATACAAATTATTAAGTTTACAATACTCTTGTGAAGCAAGGCGGCACTACTCGTGCGGCGACACTCTATACCTTATTTTTCGAACAACTCCGCCTCGAAAACTAATACAGGAAGCGGTATAATACAACAGAAAAGCATGATGATGGCAGGACTCCAATTGAAAGGGACACCATTGGGTCAGATCCTAGTGCGCACTCACGGAATCCTTAACTACGACATCTTTAGCATCTGGCATGAAAAGGCAGGTGATTACTTTGAATGTACTCGCAAGCTCTCAAACAATCCAAAAAGCAAGCAAGCAAGCTCTAGAACACATCAATCGAAAAGAAACAGGTTAAAGACATAAATTGTAAGTACAACAGTTCTAACTGAAGCAAATACTCATCGCATGATCATTTAACATTGCATGGACCCTCTCTCAGCATAATCCCCGGCCATTCGATTCACTTCTCCTAGCCACCTCGTGATCAACCCAACTTTCCCTGGCGTTTCTTCATTTCGACACTTAGTTTACTTTGTTCATGACCTGATCATATAGTGTGACTTAACACGAATTGTGTCCCACTATGACTCGTCTATTTGTATAGATTATGACACTACGCAGTGGTTGTAACCTTTACCCACACTATGGACATCAATCGAACAAATCCCGCTTACAGCATGGCCCTCCTATCGTATCGCCGACCTCCCGCGGTCTAGCCATGGGTGAGAGAATCTAGATCCATGCCACCCTGTGGCACAACTCATCCATTCTAGGATTCAATCAACTGTTTATGGCACACCTTAACAACCCAGGCTCTCATGATTGGAAGACAATCCCCCAGCCAAGGGGATAATGCCCTTCCAACCATCCATCTTTGGTGACACGCATAAGAGACTAGGGCCTTCCGACAAAGGCAAATGTGTGATTGCACGAAAACAGGCTCGATTCAGTGGCACTACAAATTGACCAGCCATTAAGGTTTAATTTAATGAGATCAATTACAATTAAACATCCATAAAATTTTATGAGAGTTACGAGCAATTCATAGCCATTAAAATCACTAAAGTGTTTCCTCGAATATGATCATTCTAATACTAAAGTCATTCCTCCAAGTTGACTATTACTAATGTGATTCCTCCAAAATAATCATTCCTAAACTAAAGTCATTCCCCAAAGATGATCATCCTAATAATCAAGTCATTCCTCCAAATATGACCATTTTTATTACTACGGTCAACTTAGCAATATTACCAAAGCATCTAGTTTCACCACTCAGCATAAAATTGAGTGAATGCTACTGATCAACTACTTCCAAGTAGATGCAACACTTAGCATGCCAACAATTGTAGCACCAATATAATTCAACCAACAATTCACACAATTCAACAATTAAAGAAATTGCAAGTTTTAACCCATGGCCTCGCAATGTCATCAAGCAAATAAAGGTGGTGGCTTCCCTTGCTGAAATGGAGTGTCAAATGACTACTAGTCTTCACTTCCTGAATTATTTCCCTCTGGAAATAATTTAAAAATACGGTTGTAAATATGACATAAAGCCAAAAAATGTCCAAAAATTCTAGAAAGCTCAAATAAGTCTCAAATTAAATTAGTGAATAAAGAATTCGAGAAGAAAATATTGCAAAAGGAATCAACTCATTTAGGCTTATGGTTTAAAAGTTAATGGTGGTCAAAGTTTGGTCAAAAATCATTTAAATTGACTTAAATCGTTTAAACAGAAAAACCAGAGGCGATCACGTCAAAAGCGTATTTCAGAAATATACTTCCACTAACTACCGCTTTGGGCGCGCGCTGAGTTGCTGACAGGTGGGTCCCACATGTCTGTTGCAAAATGCGTTTGATAGGTCAGTGGAGACGGTGGCTCACCGGAAGCCGTTCGCCAGCGTAGAGGTCACGACCAGGCTTGTGGATGGATGCACTAGAAAGTGCGAGAGGATGGCGGCCGCGCCTGTACCTATGGCTTCCCAGAGACGTCTTGATGACGTTGCTTCGTTCTTCTCCGACGGCGGTGATCTTCGGGGGTCATTGGACTTTGACATTACGTCACACAATTTGGAGGCTAAGTTAGGCGTCTTGGTCAATGGTGTGTGGCGGTTCAAATGGTGGTGGTGGTGTGGCCTGGGGTGGAGCAGAGGGGGTTGTCGGCGGGGTGCTTCCGTGGCGGTGCTTTGCTCGATTCCACTACTACGTAAAACCTTAGTAGTAGCGCGAGTAAATGGCCTAGCAGTAGCGCGGGTGCGAGCGCTAGTGCTATGGCGCTACAGCTAACATTTAAGAGTAGCGCCGGTAAGGCCCACACTACTGCTAATTCAGTTATCAATAGCGCGTTTCTCAAAACGCGTTACTGCTAGTTACTAGGAGCGCGGCTTAACCCCGCGCTACTACTATTATTACATATTTCATTTCTAATTTATTTTATATCGTATTTATACACCGTTATACAAGTTTTCATATAGTAGCAATTTAGAGATTGTTATATCATTATGATCCTAATGAGTTATTACATCATTGGGTGGTCACTTTCGATCCATCCACTTGAATCTAATCAACGGTCATTTCATCCAATGATACAATAACTCATCACCATCATCATCATAATATTAACAACTTATCATCATCATCATCATCATCATAATCATAGTCATATAACAACTCCTCCTCCTCCTCATCATCATCCATGGGTCATATAAGAACTCCTGCATTATTCTAACACATTGTAGCACATAAAAATAACTCATCATCATAGTCATAATCAACACTAACTAATTGTTCTTAATACCTAGGACCTACTCCTCTCTCCTAGGTAAAATAGCAGAAAACTGGTAAATCTGTCCCTCTCCAGAATGGAGGATGGAGATCCACCCGTCGCCAACTTGTGGCTTGCGCACATGCATGTTGTCTCCAATCGGTTGCATGCGCGCATTCATTAGTTTTTTCCATTCTTTGATATTGATCCTTGCATCTTTCAAGAAAATAGAGTATGCACTATGGTGAGTCGTTGACGAAAACGGTGGTAATCTAACCATATACATATGACCTTTGGTAAGCATCATGTCAGGAACAACCTCCTTCGGGAGCTTCTATTGAACAACAGAATAGTAACATATATAGTTAGCAATGTAGTTTACTTAAGAAGAATGTATGCAATGAAGTTACCATCATTAACGAAATGATACCAAGTTTTTGGCAATGAAGTTGCCATCCTACAACTCATGGACTAGTGGCACGTATCCATTAAATTGGGGCTGATAAAGTGATTGGTCTTAAAGGTCTCAACATCATCTATAAATGAGACAAGATATCCTTTCTCCTCACAATTAATCTCAGAGCCATAGATGTAGTACGACCTATCTACAGCCTTCCGAGTATTTCTTGAAGATAAGAAATAAGCTGACAATTATGAATAAACAAGTTTAGTAGCTGACGGTGTCCTGGACTAGGGGGTACTCACCACGTCGTCTCCCGATCAGGTGGATTGGGTCGAGGATCCCCATGGCCGAATACTCACGGGCCAGTCCGGACAGCTGCCGCATACAAGAAAGAATCCACAAGACTTGGCGATAAGACAAGGACTCCTCCCCCACCGGCGTATTCGGCTAGGACTCTTGTTATCCTGGGCCTCTGGTGCATTATATAAACTGGGGCCAGACTAGTCGATAGATATACAACAACAATCATACCATAGGCTAGCTTTTAGGGTTTAGCCTCTACGATCTCGTGGTAGATCTACTCTTGTACTACCCATATCATCAATATTAATCAAGCAGGACGTAGGGTTTTACCTCCATCGAGAGGGCCCGAATCTGGGTAAAACATCGTGTCCCTTGCCTCCTGTTACCATTGATCCTAAGACGCACTGCTTGGGACCCCCTACCCGAGATCCGCCGGTTTTGACACCGACATTGGTGCTTTCACTGAGAGTTCCGCTGTGTGATCGGCGAAAGGATCAATGGCTCGACTGCAGGTCAACTGCGACGTCGGCTTGTTCGTCACCAGCTCGACTGGTCACCTTGGCTTGACCGAGGACTGCGCCCTACCTCCGATCGTGATGTTCGGATGAAGGCATATATCAACACCAACTCCGATCTCTATCAAGATCATGGAGGAGTCATCCATGGAGCTCGGGGGCTCAACGTCAACATTGCCCTCAGGCGACCGTGCTGTTTTTCTGGACAACAAACTTGTATCCGCTGCGACCGCCTCCTCGATTGTCGCCTAAACGATTACTTCGGTGGAATTATGCGGAATTAAGTCTACAACAACCCTGCAAAAATTTCGTCGAGTTCCGATGGAGGAATCTCCGGCAATCTCCGATATACCGGAGCCCTGTTGAATCTGGACGAGAATCCGGACGAGTTTAGGGCGTGGTATCCAGCGTCTAGCTCGGATGTCCTTTGGAGGATCCAACCGTTGATTTGCTGCGGAATTCCCTTATCTACCACCTGCCAAACATTCAGCTCGATCCGACCGTTCAAACTCCGGGAAACTTCCGATTAGTGCATCACTTTTTGGATCTGTTTTCTGCGCGAAAACGAATCCGACCCGAGTTCGTCTTTTTTATGAACGGGATTTCGAACATCCTTTTTGAAGG